AGTTGAGTTTCACGGTAAGGAGCATAGCACTAATTGGAGATTGTAATGTTGGTAACTAAGGAAACTTACATAATCAATGACAAATGGGACACGTGAAACATTCCCTAAGGCATTTAACTAATTGAAACAATGGATTGTTCGCTATTAATTATACATATTACTATACTTTGCGAGCAATTTTATTTGATTACAACTATAATTAACCTATTACATTTTGTATAAGTGGTCGCCCATTGTTCAAAATCAACCATAAGCAATTTAAGTTCGAATTTTATAATGGAACAAAAAATAAAATTGACTTCTTCATATTAACTTTAATGGTCCCAAATTATAAGTTCATCAGTGCGCAATTTCCTTAAAATATGGTACAAAGTTTTCACTTCACAAATTAGTATATTCATATTTTAACTTTAGATAGTTGTAGATATAGGAAATTACCTAAACAATACGTATCAGTCTTAAGTCATTAATTGGATACTGCTCTAGTCCAGTACTAGTGTAGAATTACCATCTTAACGAGAGACTAACTAATTGATATGTCTTGATAACGATCTAGCGAGTTGCAACAGCTACAAAGGGACTGACAATTAGGGTTGTCAATCCAGTCAATTACACTTCAAGAGATGATAGCATACGATATACATACATACGTCACAAGTTAAGTCTTAACAATTGCATTCATAGATTAAGTACATCACAATTAGGTACAAAATTACAAAGAGAAAGATGGATGGCATAAAAAGGTCAATGATGAATTATTATAGATCTTGGTTCGAGACCACACATTGTGGGATAATGACAGAGAAGCTTACTCTCAGCAACATGAAAGAATTGTTGCGATTCTTCGGAGTGTTGATTGGGTTTAGGTTATGTCCTGCTCACACGCAATAGGCATTCATTTGTGGAGAGTTGAGTCCACACAAAGGACAAGAAAATTATGATATTAAGTGCATTCAATATATTAAAAGATAAGTATATAAGTTTGAAGCTACATAATTTGCAAAGATTATCTTATATATAAAACACTCGTGTCACAATTTTCGTTCCCATACTTCTCCGAAACGGCTTAACCGATTCTCATGAAATTTTGTGAGCATATTGAGTAGGTCTGAGAATCGGACAACATCTATTTTTAATCCCGCGCGGACGGAGTCGCGGGTGACAGCTAGTATAGTATAAAACTCAAACATTATAGCCCTATCTCTTTGTTGTACATGTTGAAATGTATAAAGGTAATACGTTCAATCGCGAAAAACAAAATACAAACAACATTATCGTAATTCTTTAAAATACGGCAAATTTGCAACTCAGCGTGCACTGATACGGGACAACTTGTCACTGTCCATTTGGCAAATAAGTTTAATACTATAAATGGATCGGTGAAGTTGCATACGATACCATGGATAAAATAGTGCTACGGCGCTACGAAAATTGTTTTACAGTAAAATGCCAATGCCGTAAAACTTGTATTAAAAAATGTTTTATTTTTAAAATAAAATGAGAGGTAAGATAATATGTTTTTAAACAAGCGTTTTAAATGTGGAACATAAATAAATACGTTTAATAAGAAAATTAAGATACTGGTACATAATAAATTAATGTAATTTACTATTTCATGTTAACTGCCTGTTACATACCTTCAATGCAATGCTGCTGCAAGAAGTTGTAACTTTTTTTTATTCATGAACTTAAATTTTTACTAACATTATACATATGAAATAATAAAAAAATTGTAACAATACGATTCATTTATAAAAGTATATAAAAGTTTTGATTTATTCAAAAGCGCGTTAAAATAAGATATTTCAGCGTTGAAATGCTCTTGCCAAGGCGACGGTGCGGTGCAACAAAGTTTGTCTTGCAACAAAGCTATTTGGAGCCGACAAGTATAATGAGTCTCGTTCTGCGCTTTTACTTCCAAGTACAAACGGTGTTTTGTTTCAAGTTTATTACTTTAATGAATTTAATAATTGTCACAATATTATATTTCAGTATCTAAATGCCGTATTCTGTATTTTATATTGCTAGTTTCACCCGCGACTCCGTCCGCGCGGATTAAAAAAAAAACTTAATTAGAATCCTATGTGTTCTTCCAGACTACGTTCTTAATTTATACCAAATTTTAGTGAGACCCATGCAGCCGTTGAGGATATAAACATCCATCCAAACATATTAATTTATAAAAATTAGTAAGATAAGCCTAGCTAGCTAGTTTCAAGTTAAGACGTTGCATTTTATCTAAGAAAAGCATTTCTTGTATTACCTATACGTTTATTGTTCTGCTAATCTCCAAGTATATGAAACCGCAAACCGAAAGCACTATTGAGATTCCAAGGTAATTGCAACAAACATACGCATTCCGTAACATATTAATGTGTAATTAATTAGAGCGGATCTGAGAATTTGCAACAGAATACTGCCCTCATGTACGTGAATTTGACCTTTGAATCCGGGTTAAAAAAAGGCAAATTGGGACGTAAATTGGAAATGAAAAAAACGCAATAAAACCAGTTTTTTGGTAAGCATATGTGTTATGTAAAGGACTTCCTTAGGATGGAATGCCAAGTTATTGCAGTATGAAGAAATCTTTTGAAAAAGTTTGTCCTTTAGTTTCTACTAGTGAAACAAATGTCTAAACACATCGTTATCTCTGTCATTCTCTTTGAAAAGACAGAGATAACACGATGTGTTTCGATCGTAGCAACAGTGGACGGGTATTGTTTATAATGTGAGAGAAATTGTTGTCATTTTATGATTTAGTTCACGATAAAGAACTTTTTTTCCATGTTTTCCGAATATAATGTCAATGAGAAAAACAAATATTACTTCGCATGATATTTACAAAGTGCTTTTTATATATAAATTTCTTTGTCAGTATCTATCTTATTTACATTTATCGTAAAATTGTGGAAATACGCGAGAACTCTTTGATGGGCTGAAATCAATGTAGCATTCAGTAAAATGTTGGTTAATATTTATTTTTGACAGAATATTACATGAAATGCTTGTGTGGTTTATCCATCAGATTCATGTGTATTTTTTTCACAAATAAAAATCACTTTCTGTATGCCTCGATGGATACCCAAAGCGCTGGGATTTTGATGAATCTTTTTCAAGGTATTCTATGGATGCCAGAAAAGATTTGTATACTAAAAAATATAAAAAAATCAATGAAACATGCTATTCAGTTTTAAAGAAAAATGTTACTTGCAGTAAATTATTCTGAATATTTAAAAATAATTATTTAGACTGTATTTTAAAACTTTTGACGTTACTGTGACATTGCAATGCAGGCTGGATTTAGAGTTATTAAAAAATATTGAAAAGAAATAATTTATAGAACGTTAGAAATGAAATGTGCTTTTAGTTTTCTTCTAAAGAATGATAATGCAGTGATCGTACAGTTTAAGAAAACGTATGAAAGAAGTTATTTCATAAAGAAATAACTCTGGAGCTCAGTCGTAGACCGATAGAGCGATATTAACCCGATGTGGTTGTGATATTTCCTTTGTTTGTAATGAAATACCGACGTAATACGCTGCATTTATTGAAGCTTTATGAGAAATAGAGCAAGGTATTGTCGTAAAAGAATCACGTACCATTATTTAGAAAATATTTGTAATAACGTAGATGTATATTTTTTTCGATTAAATATAAAACAATTTGGTTTTCCTAAAGACAATGTAGATGTTTTTTTTCCAGGTAGGAAACGCAGGGAAAATCCAAAAGAAGGAAAGTTGTGGTGCTGACATACCTGTCTGCCACGTCTCAGTTGAAAATGTCGAGGATACGTTTAGAAGAGGAGGAGACCAATATCACTTTTATCACAAGACTTTCAAAACAGGGTATAAAACTATTAAATTACGGACTTTTTTATTATATCACAACGTCCACTTGAGGCGTTAATTAACGGAACTTAAATAATGAATATTTGTGATGCATTAATTATGAGATATATAGAGTAAATGAGTCATAGTGATGGATATGGAATGCTTGAAGAGGACAGAACGTACGTGATCCGTGCCGAGGCAAATGCATTGGAGATTCTGTACAAAATCAAATTAAGAGCATCACTGCAGTTTGACGAAAACTGGGAACTTGTTAAAGAATACGTGCCATATATGTGACGAATATGCTTAGTTTGGAATAGTGTCGACAAATTCTTCAAACATAAGAAAGTAATTTTAATTTGTTTCCGAAATAAATCTTATCACAAAATTAAAATTATATAGGAAATAAAATTCTAATGTTTGTCAATAAAATGTAGTATTACAGGACCGAAACTATTTTTATTTATTCAAATATATACCAAATATAATTGACGCTACAATTCGGTTACTGCATTCATTGAGGCGATAAATTGATTGATAAAATCGGTTACAAATGCTACAACGACGAGTTTCCTACGGATCATCGAACAGTCGAAGTTATAAATTGCATGTTGTAAGTTTCATGAAAATTGGATGTATCGCGGAGCGGATTTTATAGTCTGAAGCGCGACTTAATTACTCCGAAAACAAATGCTGGTGCATCTGCATATTTGTCGAGTTTTTTAATGTTGACTTAGTTTTTTTACCACTTTTTATGAGTTTTATTGTAGCTTATATCCTTTCCCGTAGCAACGTTAGTAAAAAATCAAACATTTTAAATTTTAATAATATTAATATATTGAACAACCGTAATATAGTAGTCACTACACCTTTGTTTATCCGTTGAAAAGTAATAAATTATTTCGTAGTATAATAAAATAATTAAACTGAAGAATTTTGCAGAAAATATTACGCATAGTATAATAAACTTGTAAATCATAAATGTAGATTCCCATTTACGAAAAACTTGTTCCAAAACAAGCAACACGAAGAAGCAAAACGATGCTAGATATCTCTTTATTATTAGTTTTAAAAAACAGAGAAAGCAATATTTTTGTCATCATTATATACTATTATGAGATATTGATATTATTAATGTTAAAACAGTAATCTAAAGCTTGGAATACATACCTGTTTCTGCTGCAGGAAGCAGTGCATCGCTTGCGTAACGTCGGCAGCGTGCACCGCGTTGTGGTAGGGATTGCTGCTGCGGTAGCCCTCCTCTATAAGGCTGAAGAGCCTCCACAGCATGGCCGCGTCCAGTCGGTAGTGAGATATCAGCCCGTACTCGTGGAACAAGTGGTAGCACAGCTCCGGGAGGCAACGCCCTATACCAACATAATAATGCAATTTTCGTGCCAAAAACTTATTATATAGGTAGGTAAAAAGTTGCAAACGTTTGATAGTATTGTAGTTTTTTCTAAGTGTTTTATGCAAATTAAGTTTTAAAACATACTTCATATTTTCATGTGAATGTTGTTACAAGTCCTAATAAGAAATTGTTATAACAGTCACATAGGAAGGCACATAATTAGGCTGATTTTCGATTATTTGGTGTGTGCCTTATAAGAATTGTTAGTAAATAACATGAACTACAAAAGTACATTCGTAAATTAATATTTTTTTTTAAATATTGAAAGCCAATTAATGTTGTATTACAGAAAATAAAAATAACAAAGTCAACAACCGTAAAAGCCGAAAACGTTATACCAATTCTCTGTAGCAAAGAAATATTACGGTGAACCAAAACATAAAATATACATCGGAGAAAATAAATAACAATTTTCTGATCGATGGGAGGGATACTGCCCTTTTAGATTGTCGATGACAAAAAATTGTGGGTTCCGCCGAAAGCGACCACCTTGAGGGAGGAGGACGTAGGGGGTGGGTGTGGGAAGGTAGGCTCTTCGCACCTGAATATCCTCAATATTAAGGCCCTTTACAACGCTCCATTGACGTTCATACATAATTAGACTGGCTGTTTGACGTTACTTCGTTCGCACGTAATTTCTCATCAGCCTATCAAAAGCTTAACTATATTGTGTAATAATCATTCTAAGCTCATATTTTACCGTAAACCGACACAATCTATAAAAGACAAAATTATTAAAAGAAATATATTATTTAGTCAATTCCTAAAAAAAGTAAAATTAACTACGGAAATATCTAATATTATTCCAAACAATATTTTATTAGAACCAAAATATTTAGATACGTTTTTAATAAAAATATTTAAAAGACTTTCATATAGACCATTATCAAATTACTTCTCTAAAAATATCCAGCTCCGTTATGAAATTTATAACCCTTTTTTCCCGGGCAGGAAATCCCGGGGTTTCGTATAAAAGCGAAAACTAAATTTAGTTGACTGACAAAATTCGATGATACGGTATTATATATTCGCATTCGAGATTTTTCAGTGCCATCATACCTGTACAAAAGCGTAATCTAATCAACTTTTTTCCATTTCTTTTTTCAGAGACATTAATACATTTCGACAGTAAAATTTATCGATTACTTTTGTTTAACCAGTAACGTAAGTAATAAAAAACTAATTTTTAAGTATATTTGTTTAACAAATAAAATAATTAAAGAGCACATACATATAAGCCCTTTTTTATAACAGAAGGGGGCAAACGAGCAGCGAGAACACCGAGGTGTTCAACGACGCCCATGGACATCAGCAATACCAGAGTAACCGCAGATTCGTTGCCGGCCTTTTAGATGCCCTAATCCATATACAAATTAATTTGACATTTAAATAATGAGATATTGTTTATAATAATATATAAAACATACTAATGGACAAAGAGATAATATGACAAAAATAATAAGTAATACTTTTGGAAATAATTGGATATAAAAAATCAATATCTGCCTCCAGGCCATAACCCTTCTTTGTAAAAAGCTTTAATTAAAACAGGATCAACGCGCTACCACGAATATTAAGCGTTGTATTTTCTTAATTGGCCTTATTAAATGCTTTTAACGTACTCACATGATGATACAAATGGTAATTATATTTAACAAAACAATATTTTATTAAGATACATTCATTTAAGGTACCAGTAAAACGGTGTGAATAGGAATTAAACTATATTACATTGTAATTTAAAATTATTTGCACTCACGTCTAAGGGATACGTACCCTTTTAACCAGTAGGCATTCATAAACAATTGGTCATCAATAAATCACTGTGCAAAAAATCCCTTTAATTAATTGGACGAAAATAAAAAATTTCTTTGATTTTATATTGGGAATAAAAAAAGTACTGCCAAGAGCTAGTTCAATCATGCTTGATGTGTTTTAAAATATGTAGAAGAGAGTTAACTTCTTATGAAGTTGGATGTTACGAACTGAAGGCGATAAACTAACTTTATTCGCCGTCATTTCAGCTCTCATCAGTTTCAAACCAACTTCCCGCATGCATTTTACTTTGCTTTTAGTATTCTACCTTGATGAAGCTCTTGTAATATTTAAGTTGCTTTCTGGATGAACACTTTATGTTCTTAAAGTAATAATTCCTTTTTCCATTAACATAAAAAGGTATGCTTATTTCAGGATTCACATTGTCCGTATTTTTCATGTAACTTGAATTCGTAGCTATAATTTGAATTAGAAAAGAATTTCGGTATTACGATTACAGTTATTGATTTGATTTCATTTTATACTAAAACTTTTTAAAGTAAGACAATAATATTGTTTCTTAATACAAATGAGAAAGCAACGAAACAGACATCTTAAAAATTTACAAACATTATGTTAACCATAACAGATCACTGGTATCGATTTCCAGCATATCTTTCTGTAAGAAGAGAAAAGAGACAAAGCAAAGCATCCCTAATGACCCGTCTCCGCAGCACAGTCTTTGTCCACCAAAGTGCACTGAAAACTGACAATATACCAAGACTTTTTAATATTATTTTGACTTATAATTATTTATCAATAAAACTTATTTTAATATCTTTAAAGTAAGTATTAAAAAAATAAACGTAGAGCTATGAAAAATCATTGTGTGGATTTTAGCCGAAATACTCGAATGAAACAGATGTAAAACCAGTTTTTGTTACGCCGTTTCGACAGTGGAAACCTATGGTAGGGAAACTGATAAGCGATACTCGGAAAAGTTAATTTCAATGAAATGAAATGTCGTCGTCAGCTTACGTACGTCCGCAGAGAGGGGCTCGGGACTATACATCATTAAAGGCACTAGCGTGATTGAGTTGCCAATCAAATGTACTTTGATTTAAAAAGGTACATTTAATTGTAAAATATTTGTAAAGCCTATTATCACGTGATACGATTAATAATGTATTTACTTGTCAATCCGTAATGTAATAAAGATTAAAACAAATGTATGTAATTTACGTAATGTCTTAAATGTTAATAAATCTTAAGTAGTTTCTTCCACTTTCATTAACCTTTTACTTACGAGTAAAACTAACTAGTTTGGCGTCTTTCAAGGAAAATATCAAGGTCCTTTAAGAGAACAGAAGCTTCAAGACAAATGAAACCTTATCTGTGCAACAATAAGAATTAAATTGCTTTGAAAGCGATCTTTTAGATTCATTGTTTCCTTAAGGCTAAAAAAACGTTACAAAAATATGAGCGGTTTAATTTCTGAAGCGAATTAAGTAATACGATTGGCATAAAATGTAATATGTATCTACATCCGAAACATTTGCCAATGTTGAAAAAAGAACAATTATCCCGTTCTATCAAAAGATGTTCTATGTCTATTTTTTATTACTCAATTAATTTACTTTATCATATAGCTTGCTGTATTTATTTTAAACACTTCCAGTATCATGTTTGAATACGAAACAAGTTTTAATTTTTTTATTATTAAAACTTACCAAAGCATAGGAATTATTTTTGTCAATCTTTTTTGATTTATAAAATATTCTTATCTTGATTAAGATCACAATTTACTTTTTATTCTATCAATCAGAGTAAAACTTAAATTTGTACACGAATTCAGTTTACATTAAACTAACATATCGAAACGACGTATTGCAAACACATTAAATGAACACATTCACGTGGCTTAGCTCTATTTTAACTTTAATTAAGGTCGGTTAGTGCTTAAATAACTAACAGCTTTAGCAACGGCCAACGTCAAAGGTGTGAAATTAAACAGTTAGTTGAAGTGAACATTGCATCTCGCACAATTGCATTTCCATTACATTAGAGACGATAGTAAAGCAAACACATTTATGTATTAGTGTACATCTTGTGAAGCACTTTAACATTTTATAATGTAATAAAAATATATATATTAACAGTTTTTTATGTTTCTATTTTAAATTAAATATTTGTAATATTTAAATTTAAATTGACAAAATCGTTAAGAAACCAGAAAAATGTAAAAGAATCTTGAAATCGGCACTTCTAAATAAATAACTTATATTTATTGCAACTTAACAATCAATTGTTTTATATATCTACTTTTCTTTTGTTACGCTTTTTTGTCTTTCTACTATAGTCTGAAAAAAACCGTTTAATCTCTGTTCTTTTTGTTTATATATTATATAATTGTGAAATGGTTAATAACGTCTGTATTTGTTAATTTGCTGATGTTATAAATTAATAAGCGACCAGTAAGTACACCTAAACCCTGTGGGTTTTTAATACTACTGTCTAACCGACGTTTAATTTGTTATGTGAAGTTTTTGTATAATAAATTAAAAAAAAATATTTAAAATTGGTAATTAAATAGGTGAATATATTTTTACATTTTATTGTTTTAATTATATTAAAGTTGTGAATTAATGTTTTTTTTTCTATAATGTGTTAACATTACGAGGTGATACAACAGATGGCCAAATGGAGCGTAAGCGCGTTACGCTAAACCATTTTCGGCGGACGGGCTGAACGTTGCTCAGCTTGATGCCGCCAAAAATGTAAATCCGTTCCATCAAAGGCATTGTGATGCAAAATCCCGACAGTGTTCAATGCTTCGTCTAATATTTGTGTTCTGAATATAGACAAAAAACACATTATTCTTTAGATATTTGAGGAAACAGTTTCAGTACTTACACTAAAATTACATAAAATTTTGCTTGGCTATTCTATGTAACAATGAATTCAAAGTTGATTCTTATATTGCAACACTCAGAGAAAATCTTCGCTAAGGGAGAATTTCTTAGGAACCATTAAACGTTTCGATTACTAATTAGAATGAATTTATGCATAAATATATCGTTGAGATAAAAATTATTGCTTTACTGCAAAAAAAAAACTATTCGTATTAAAAAAAGCTTCTGTGCCATACTTTTGATTTAAAAACTTCAACGAAAGATATAACATTCTAAATTTAAACAATTT